AACTCGTCTGCCTGAATCCAGCTGTGGTTCTTGAGTGCCTACGCAGTAACACTCCGACAGTTAGCGGAACCCCCTTCCTCCCCAGCACAGCCTGGCTTGAACGTGTCTGCCCTCCGGCCTCCGCCAGCAGCCTCTCTGTCCTGGAGAGCTGCAGGCACTGCACAGGGCCCTCGCTAGCCTCCCTGCCCCGTGCTCCAGCGTTTTCTCCCCTCCTCCCAGGGTCCTTCAACCTCACAGTTTATTCTTATTACACTGTGCTGGGAAGGAAGGAATCGCAGTGTAGAGACCCGTGCTAGACCAGTGTCTCTCAGGCAGAACTGGGATCCAGGTTCTAATGGTCTTTGCAGCCCACGGCATTCAGAGTGGTCCCATCCTCCTTACAGGGTCACAGTGAGCTCCACCGCCAGCCACCAATCTACCTTTACAGCCTCATCCATCTCCCGCCAATGACTCAGTCAGTCAGCAAGTATCGAGCACCTACCAAATGCCAGACCTGTTCCAGGCATCTGGGGCTCATCTGTGAACAAGCAGAAAGGAAAAAGATCTCTGCTCCTGGGCCCTTCCTTTTTTGAGGGGAAATGAGGTAGTTGGGAGAGAACAAAGACAAAACAATAAACACAACAAGCTAATTATACAAAACACTGGAATTTCAGATCAAGTGCTTTAAGAAAGAAAACAGCCCTGGCCGGGCAGCTCAGTTGGTTAGAGCATCGCCCTGACAGACCAAGGTTGCGGGTTTGATCCCCGGACAGGGCACATACAAGAATCAACCAATGAATGAATGGAACAAATCAATATTTCTCTTTCTCTCTCCCCTTTCCTCACTAAAATCAATCAATTAAAAAAGTAATCTATAATAATAAAAGTGTAATATCCTAATTAGACCAGATATCCTTTCGGACGAAACTGGGGCTGCAAGGAAAGCCCGGGTCCCGAGTGCCTGCTGGCGGCCGGAGGGAAGCCGGTGCCGGCAGCCGGGGGAAGGAAGGCCTACTGTTGCATGAATTTCATGCATCGGGCATGTAGTTATTAAATAAATACATACATACATACATACATACATACAAAGAACGGAGCAAGGTAAGGGAGATCAGAGTTTTGGTTGCTGGATTTATTGAACAGCACAGTCAGGTAGGCCTCCTGAGTAGGTGACATCTGAGCAAGGCCTGAACCCTCCCTGTGAGAAGCCACACCTCTGCACTCCGTTTTCTCTGTCTGGAAGTTTCTTCGCTGGCTCTATCCAAGCTTTAAAACTAGCTCAGATTTGACCTCCTCTAAAAAATCTTTTCCAGTGTTCCAGACTATTTCATTCATTTTTAAAAATCTTTATTGTTGAAGGTATAACACATGCCCCCTTTTCATTCATCTTTTTGTAAAATGTTTTCTATACACTCATCTCCTACTCATGTTATGGGGCTGGATACTCTTCTAGACAATAAACCCTTGAAGGCAGAATCTTGTCTCATGTTTGGGAGACAAGTGCCCAGGGCAGTGTTTTGTACACAGTAGATAATAAAACAGTATCTAGAGACTCAGTGGATGAGCAAGATGTTTGGGGCTAACTCCAGAAACATGCTCTGGGCCTCCATGGCAATGGAAAACGATGGAAGTGATCTGACTGGAAATCTGGGCCCTCTTGATAGCTACTCGCTCACCTGTTTGATGATATAAGTTAGCTCCTCAATCTCCACTGCTTTATCATCAAAGAGGGACTTGCGCTTTGCCACTGCGGAGATAAAGAAGCCACGACCGGTGACCTCAAAGAGAAGGCTCAGGGAGTACGGTTCCTCCACCCTCCTCGGTCCACTGCCCGTTCCTGAAACACCCCAAGAACACTCACAGATCGTCAGCTTCTCCAGCTTGGCAAACGTGTTGCTGAGGTCTTTCCCAATGCGCCTGCAAGCAAGCGTTAGTGAGAGCACCGTGGGAGAGAGCAGGAGAGGGCCGCCTCCCCCATCAGCGCCAGCACAACCCATTCCAGCCCTCACAGCCAGGCCAGCAAAGGCAGCCTCCTCCTCAGACACCGCCTCAGCCCACTCCACTCCTCTCAACTCACTTGGCCATGAGGGAGAATTCACTGCGCTGCCGGACAGCACGGAGAGCCGGCTTGTTTGCCTGTATCCCATTCTGAAAAGCAATGTCAAGAGGTGAAACGTGAATCCCCTTCCCCATCACCAGCTTTCACTGTTCTCAGCTGTCCGCTAAATTCTCTCTAGGACTGACCGTATTCTCTACCAGCGGGTCTACGGGAGTAGCGGGAGTAGCAGGTGAGAGCCCAGATTTGAAGGCAGAGAGACCAGGGTTCAAATCTTGATTCCATCACTTAGTAGCTGGGGAGTTTGGGCCAAGTGACTTACACCGTTCTGAGTCTGTATCTCCTCTCCTACAAAATGAAGACAACCCCCCCACCTCCTTATGGGTGTTGCTAAGACGAGAGGACACGGGGTGGTAAAAAGTATTTCAGCCGAATAGCTGGTGCACTGTAAAGACTAAATACACAGCTCGGATTACCATTCTATTCTTCCGACCTGGGAACCAAAGAGTATAACGGGAGAGCTCTTGGAGAGCAGAGCACAGAAGAGTAGGTGTTAACAAGGGCTGAGCAGTACAAGTATGTGAAACTGCAGTCACTCGGGTCCCACCTGCATTCACCAAGTCTGGATCAAGGCAAGGGAATGCAATTTCTTAAAACGCACTCCAAACTGATTTTGGTAAAAAGTACTTATCTAGACAACTCCCTTCAGTTTACAGATACAGAAACAGAGCGAACTGTGACAGCACTATACCAGAGCTGGAATTCAAAGTGGTTGTCTCTGGGCTAGAGGCTCTTTCTAGAACCTGGTCCTTATCCAAACCCAATATATCGGAGCCACCTCTCACCCCGAGGTATTCCTTCAGGACCAGCAACCCTACCCTCCAGGTTCCTCGCACGAGAAGGTCTGTGTGCCTGCCCGTAGGTAGCGAGCCCACCTCTTCACAGGTCCCATGCCCCCTCCTAGCCCGGCCAGTTCCCCATCAGGCTCCCGAAAGAATGCGCTCCCCCAGCTCTGAGCAGAGCGCAGCCCTACCTTTCGTTCCCACGCCCGGCCCTTACCTGACGGCTCTGCAGGAATTTGCAGGCAGACAGGAACTCCTGGGTCCGATCCCGGCAGGACATGGTGTCGGGAGGGGGAGGGACCAGGGCCACTGGGGGGGGCGGAGGGGCGATGTCGCTGCTGCTACTGCCAGCAGTTGCAGGGGACAGGACCTGTGTCTTTGAGAGACCCAGGTAGACACCCTGATCCGTGTTCTTAGTCCCGTAGCGTTTCCGCGGGATCATTGAGACGCATAACCTCGGACTGTTGTGGAGGGGAGAGTGTCATTCCCAGGCCTCTCCCCCAGAAATTGCCCCCAATCAGCAAATTCTTGCGCCCCGAAGCCAACAGCAGATCCTGGGGCCGGCGGGCAACAGGCTGGGCCCCACTTCCTCTCCGGCCTAAGCCGCTCCCTTCTCACTCTTCTTCCAACTTGGCTCGGGCGGCCCGAGTGCGGGCCGGGGGCCCCGAAGCAGAGACAGGGCCCAAGGCGGGACCCGCGGCCCCAAAGCTCCAGCTCGGCCTTGCAACTGCCCCCAGGCCCTAGTGGGCCCTCCTGGATCCACGGGTTCCTTCCCCGCCTCGGGGAGAAAGGGTAACGGACCTTCGGAGGGGGGGGACACACTTCGGTGGGCGGAGGGGGAGAAATCTCCGGGTGTTTATTTGAAACAGGAAGTCCCACCCCCCGCTCAAGCTCCGCCTTCTAGGGGACTGCAACTAATGATTAGCTTATGCCGACGTCTTTCTTAACAGAGGCTTTCCTGATTGGACACCGAGGTATTCGCTCACCCCGAGCCCGGCCGGCAAGACTAGTCCGCTCGCCTCTGGTTACCTTTCCCCCCCACCCCCACCCGTCATCGCCCCCGGAAAGCCGCGGCCCCGAGCTGCCACGGCGGCCAGACCACTCTTAGAGCAAGTCCTACCTCCTCTCCGCCGCCTGCCGCCGCCGCCGCCACAATCTCCTGGGCCGTCACCGCCTACTCCGCGGGCGCCGAAGCCTCCGAAACTCGACCAAAGACTGGGAGCCGCCACGTCACCCACACGTAACCCCACCCCCGCTGACTAGAGGGCGGTACCACGCCTATTCCAGCCCGGCACCCCGGGGACACGCCCCTCACCCAAATACAAGAACGATTCCGCTCTCCCATTGGCTAGGCCGCTGTCGTGACCCCGCCCCCAGGAACTAGAGCGGCGGCCCATTGGGCGGGGCCAGCCTCTGGGGAGGAGCCTTAAAGAGACCGCAGCCCGGGTGGTGCGGGCAAAGGGCAGCAGAGGCACAAGCGCTCCGGCTAGTACACGTTAGAAACTTTATTCTCTGGAAGCTGGGGAGGACTGAGAGCCGGGCTGGGGTCATCCCTTCTCCGGCTCCTCCCGGATTTCCTCCGGGTTGTTCTCCTGGTACGTACACCCATGCTTCATTGACTGCCTCTTGGCTGTCCGCGAGTCCCGACGGCTGAACAAGGACAACGGTGATCAAAAGGCTTTCGTTGGACTTGGGCTTCCGGTGGTCCGACGAGTTCACATCGGCCTCCTCGGCGTCTGCGAGGATGAAGCGGCCGCTGAACAGAAACTCCATACTGTCTTCCATAGTGGCTGCACCAGTCTGCATTCCCACCAGCAGTGCACAAGTGTTCCTTTTTCTCCACATCCTCTCCAGCACGTTCCCTGCGCACCCAGCTGTGTTTCTGTTCCCACCTTCCTCGACTTTCTGCGATCTGGCCCTCTTGGACTTCCCATTGGAGGTTTTCAAGGCCTTGTCTTGGCAGCAGCCCATGGCCCGCTAGGGCCCGGCTCGCCCGGCACTCGGTGCTACCACTCCAGCCCACTGGCTCCCACCGCTTTTGTGACGTCAGATATCCCGCCGCCCCAGCTCAGAGAGCAGCCGCCCCTTTAATTTCTCCCATCACAAAAGGCGCAGGGTCATGGTGGGTGTCAGCTGTTTATTTACAAAGTGAGCTCAGGCCCCTCAGGGGCTGGCAGAGCCAGGCCGCTTCTTCTTTCTCCGCCGGGTTGGGAAGACCCCTGATGTCTGCTCCAAATCAGGGCGCTGGCGCTTGGCAGCTGCCTCCAGGGAGGCCCAAAGTTCATCTGCCTCTGTGTCTTCCGAGGACAACTTAGCCGGCTCTGGAGGCTCTGGCGGCTCATCCTAGTGAGTGGAGAAAAGCTGAGGAGTCAGGGGCACAGGCAGACCCACAGGGGAGGGATTAAGGGGGAAGTCATCTTGCCAGGTACCACCACTTGCATTTCCTGCTCTGGGGACAAGTCCCATCCATGTCCCTGTGTCACTCTTGGCAGGAACCCTGTCAGGACTATAACTATTTTTTTTTAATATATTTTATTGACTTTTTACAGAGAGGAAGGGAGAGGGATAGAGAGTTAGAAACATCGATGAGAGAGAAACATCGATCAGCCGCCTCCTGCACATCTCCTACTGGGGATGTGACCGCAACCAAGGTACATGCCCTTGACCGGAATCGTACCTGGGACCCTTCAGTCCGCAGGCCGACGCTCCATCCACTGAGCCACACCGGTCAGGGCAGGACTACAACTATTCACACTCCTCACAAAAATGCAGTGATGCGGCAGAGAGATGGGCAGGGCCAGTCTTTGTTCCAGCTGCTTCCTTTTGCTCCCACGGGAAGAAATCTCACATCTATGCTCTTGGTTCCACCTTCCCAGACCCAACTGCTTACCTCCCAGTTGTCCCTGCCTGACAGAAGAAGGCAGTTCAGCTGAGACTTCAGATAGACCTGCAAGAGACCAGGGACCTTAAGGAGTCAAGCACAGTGAAATGTACAGAGTATGAGTGGGGGGCCCAGGAGACAGCAGGCTCTCACCTTATGCTCCAGGCCCCGTGGATTCTGGATCCTGTGTACCCTCAGGATTCTGTCCAAGCCACAGGAGGCTAGGAGAGGCTTGGAAGGGTGGCACTGCAGCCCTCTGACACTGCCTGCCAGCCCCTTCAGGCAGCCCAGTAGGCGCCCTGGAGAAAGGGGGAGGCGTTAGGCGAGCCACGCCACCAGTAGTATTTATTGTTGAAATCACTTTTTATTTTGGGACTTAATTCTTAACATAACGCTGAGATAGGGGTTACCATTATATCCATTTTACAGGTCAACTATGCACATGTCCAAGGTCATACAGCTTTTGAAACCAGGATTTGAACCCAGACAAACTGATGCCTAAATGAGGGTTCAACTGCCCCAGAGGGAATCCTGCCCCACCCCCCCTATAAGGCTCCCCAGTCTACTACCTTGCCGAAGGTCAATTTCTGCCAGCTGCCCATGAGTGTTTCCTACAATCACCGAGCTGAGAGGAGAGCAGAGGCAAGTGGGGTCAGCAGGAGCCTCCTGAAGCCCTGACCCCACTCCTGCCCTCTAAACACTCACTTGCCCCCGGGAGTGAGAGTCATAGCGGTCAGCGGGTACTCTCCATAGGTGGCCTCGAGGACTGGCCGGCGTTGGGGGGAGGCTGGATCATAGACACGGACCTGGAAGAAGACTTAACTATCACAAGGGTACCCTCACCCTGTGCCCTCCCATCTTCACCCACTTCACACCCTCCCTCATATACTGCTTTCCTGTTTATGATCCACTCTTAGAGAAACTTTCTCATCTGAGTGTTGCGGGGGGGGGGGGGGGGGGG